AAGAGCGAGCTAAGACATTCGAAGTTAAAGAAGTCAAGATATCTAAAGCCTACGACATGGGGATTTCATGCCACGCCATGGTGATTAGAAGATTCGCGATCTGAGAAGATGACTTTGAGAATACGTATGGAAAAAGAGCGCCACACCGTGGAGCCTGTTTTCCACAGCGTGGGAGGTAGATTTTAGGAAAGTATAAATATTCGGTTTTAGGTCGAATTTTAGAGGTTGGCTTGAGGATTAAGATAAGGATTACGACTGAAAACCCTTAGAAAACCCTCATAAGTAAAGATTTTGTTTTGCATTCAAGCTTTGAAACTAAAACTCTAAAGAGGTTGGCTTGAGGATTAAGCTAAGGATTACGACTGAAACTCTAAAGAAGGTTGAATCCTTGAAAGATGCAGTCGTCTTTATGAGATTGTGAACGAAGAAAAAGGTTGTTAATCCTAAATAAATTCGATGTTGGTTTTAGGGGGATTTAAATATTTATTATGGTGAATCTTGAAAATTGAAGAAGCGAAATGGATTCTGAGATTTGAAGACAAGAACGGAAAACAAAGCATCGTCGGTGTATGTCACACCCTGAAACCGATGGCGGAAACGTTCCGGGGTGGAGGACGTCATGTATAGCATCACAACCAATGAATAACAACAATCATAGCAACACAACCATTACAGTGAATACTTATATGAAAAGTGTTTACATCAGTTTGAAACTTAGTTTAAATTACATCCAATAGTTTTGTATAGTAAAAACTTAAAAACTCTTAATGCTTCAGTTCCTCAAAATCCAGCAAGTACCTGTCTACTGATTTCCTGATAATACAAGCAGTTTGAAAATATCAGCATAAAGTTGGTGAGTTCATAAGCGGTAATTTGTAATGAAAACTTGTTGATGAGCTAGTCAAAAATTTGTAAAGTTTCAAGAAAATCCGATATTTTCTTTAGTGAAAATGTAGCGTTATCGTTTACGTATAAAACCATGAATGTTCGTTACTGAAAACTGTATTGATAAGCGAATATACTACCTCATGTGACTAGCTAAAGCTAATCATGAAGTATAAATATTTTGAATGCATAGCCATAGCAAGTGGCTCTGCTTGAAAACCCTGGCATGGCCAGTATACGTAGTGTGTTTTAGTTCTATTTAGTATAAATAGAACCGTTGAAGAGTGTCAGGTTTGTAAACTAAAGGTGATTTATACATAATGTGAGTCGTATAACCATACTTGATATGACTAGAGACCTTTCCAACGTTCTTCAGGCGTCGAGTTAAATGACATTTGTCACCCTGGGCATGCCTGCTCAACTATAGCTAGCAGTTCGGGTGTGGGATTGTCAGTCCCGAATAGATCTATTCACAAATCTCACGCTCTCCCTCCAGGAGACTCTGGTTATACTATGATAGGATTTATCCATGTACACCTAAGGGTACAGTAGTGAAGTAGCGCCTCACAGTATCGTACAATCTAGTTTACATGTAGTGTAGTAGCGTTCTACCGTAGTGAAAATCCGAATGTATATCGTTTGTAGTGATAATTACAGTTATGAAAACGCGATAAAGTAGTGATGCAAATTGTAAACTATTTCTGTCTTAGTGCATACGTTTAGTAGTGAAAGTTTCTATACTTGTTATGCTTAGAAAATCCCAAACTATACCGATTATAGTTTGCATGTAAAACGTAGTGAATAGCGAGTCCGGAAAACCATGCAATTTTAGTGAAAACGTCCCTTATGCTCAACACAGTACAAAAGGGTTAAAGTATGAGAATTTCATGAGTTTTGAAAACCTTTATGTTTAGCTTGTATCCCCCCCTGAAAACTTTAAAAATACGGAAAATGTAGGGGTATGAACTCACCTTGAGCGAGTGGTTTGATTGAAGGATCGATACGAAAAGCTGGGTGTTCAAGTGAAGCTTTGAACACGATTTGATCCTAATCAATAAGTAATGACACATAAAGGAGTCAAATGATGGTATTTCACCACTAGATGTGATGAAGAACCACTCTAAGAACTTGGGACTACTTGCACTATGTGTTAGGACCTCAAAGGATTGCATGAGGGAGGTGTATGGCCACCTTAAAGGTGTGTACGGCCATGGGTGTGCGGCCCAATGGGTGTGCGGCCGTACACTCATGATGGAAGGTGCCTTTGAGGTGTTTTCAAGGTCCATACTTACATCCATTAAGTGTACTAGGCCCATACTTGGTTGTAGTACAAGTTTAGGGTCTTAGAAATGGGTTTGTGGTCCTATGGTGTGTGTGTATGGTCGCACACATGAGTGTGCTGCCGCACACATGAGTGTGTGGCCGCACTCCTTCAAGGAGATGAAGAACATGACGGGACCTTCATGATTCAAGGCCTAGATCAAGAGGTTCTTCATGCACAACAAGTTAAGGGATGGATTACTCACGTTTTTGAAGCCTTGGGAGGGTTTGTGGTTGAAGAAGCTTGAGAGAAATGGTGTTGTGTGCTGCCAAGGTGTTAAAGGAATGAAAGGAAAGGGGTCTACCCTTTATATAGGAGTGAGGGTGCTGCCCAAAAGAGTGTGTGCTGCCAGGGAGTGGGTGTGCGGCCGCACACCCATGTGTACGGCCGTACACTCCCCCAAGAGGTGTGTATGGCCCGATTTTCTCACTATTCAACACTCTGACTCATTCCTAAACTCAGCCTTGGTCGTATACAAGCTTAGAACACTTAAATGAACCCCTAATTAGCACCAGAAATCAGCAAAACAAGTTGAATATTGATTGAATTGATTAATTGAACAAGATTGAAGTTCCGGGTTGTCACAGTGTAACCTTCACCGGATCCTTCCTAGAGAATACACTGTATTATGGTTTTCTTTGAGGCTTGACTTTACTGCCCCAAATCCGACTTTACAACTCCTAAAGCATAATGATATCATATATGTAATGCCATCTTTTTTACCTGTGAAACCGACAGAAAAAAGATTAATACTTTTTTTTACAGGTCAAGAGAGACTTTATGACTCTAACATCCTGTTCCCGAGTGTCAATTAATGAGGGAAGTGGAGAGAAAAGGAGGGAATTAAAGAGAAAGAAGGAGTGAATAGCGTTCCCGAGTTTTTTTTTGGAATGATTTGGGAAGAAAAGAAAGGAAGTCAGAGGATTCGCTTCTCTCTTAACCTTCCTCCCAATTTGGAGTGATTTGGAGAGAAGAGAATAATTGATAAACATAAAAACCCAATGATAACCAAACTACCATTGAACCCTATATATTCACGTACAGCAGCAACACGCATGAAAAAAAATCACTTCTTCATCCTTTGTTATCAGTTCGACGTACGTCTGTGCAAGCTTCCATCACCAGGTTTCATTCTCTTCATCGATTTCTTGTTTATGTTTTTTCAATCAAGTACATATTCAATTTCAATCAAGTGATTATATAGGAGTATGAAATGGGTTATGCAAGCTTATTAGCTTTGATTTGTAAACTCATAATTGTTTCATTATATAGTTTATATTCTGAAGATTTTTGTATGTTACCTTAAAGTAGACCAAATGAGTAATGGTCTGTATCTAAAATACCCTTCAATGTTTCATAGTTTCATGATTTCTGTTCACCTAAGATCATCAAGCAATGGTACTGTTGAGATATTTGTCTACTATGAAAGAATGATTTTGTCCCACTGTTGGACCACCTCTGCGATTTATCAAACAAATAATGAATTTTTCATAGACTATAATGGCCTGTTACAGCTTCATGCTTTCTCAAAGTTCATAGTTTCATGATTTTTTGCAACATCACTTTTAAGATCTAACCAATCCACATTGTTAAACATCTCTTTAATGTTTTGTTTTTCAATCTTTCTCAAAATTCATGGACTTTTTTTCCCTTGAATCTACCTTTGGTTTGAGTAAAGTAGTCAAATAATCAATTATCAAATGTATAACATCTAATTGATTTGTCTTTAATTTGTTTAGATTGAATTTGTTTAATTTTGGTTGAAAGAGTAACGCAAATGAAGGAAAAGAGATTTTAATAAGCAACAGGTGGCTAAAAAAAAAGTTTAGGCATAATTTTTTTTCAAGAGAATCGTGTGGTATGAATTTGAAATTGTGGTAAAACGTGACAATGATATAATTGTCCACTTTTATGTTTCATTTCTTTTACATTCAACTCGGGAACACAAAGTGTAACGTCCCGAAAATCATGACATAATTTTTTTTTGTTTTTAGATTAATAAATTGTTAATACATATCTTTCCCATAAAAACAAGGTAACCAAGATTTAGCAAAACATCGTTAAATCAGAGTAATTCACAGAATGCGGAAACATGTGGTGTGTGCTCTGCAATTATCCTGAGCTCTTCCATTTGAAAACCGAAGTACCTGAAACATAAACTGAAAACCGTAAGCACAAAGCTTAGTGAGTTCCTCAAAATACCATATAACATACAACCATAGAATATCATGCAACATACAAATAGTTGTCATGGGATACCCCCATGGTCTTTACTCGGAATGTCATTGACTCCCCCTATGGTCTGATATGCACGTGCCATGGGCTCCCCCCGTGGTCTTTACCTGGAATGTTATGGCCCCCCTCACATCAGTACGCCCCGCGTACTGGAGTTTTCCCCTCAAACCCTAATTCACTCTGAATGCAATAACAACTCCGATTCCGACGATCCTTAAAGTTCCCCGAACACAAAATCCAATTTCCATAAAAGGCTGCTGCCAATTTACCAAAATACCCATTGGCACCAAAACCAATTTTGAATGCCCGAACCATCTACATATCATCACCCACACCCAAATGGGTAATGATTCAGAACAATGACTTACACAAAGGTAAAATAATTATCTTTTCCTTTCTTTCGAACTCGGGAACATAAAATTTTACTTTACTTCCCTTTCCCTAAAGCTCCCCAAAAATTACATCAATACCTTTTAAAGAAAAAAAAAGAAAAGTTTTTAGACCATAGTGATGATAACCTAAATTATATTCCATTTTTTACATAAAGATTTTTTCATAACTCGGGGTTTCAGACCCAAAACCAAAAATGGACCAAAAAGAGGAGAGCAGCTCCATATTCGACCCTTGCCCCATTTGCCTCTCACCGATTAATCAAGAATCCTACTTGGATCAATGTTTTCGTACGTATCATCTTCTCCTCTCTTGCTTTCTGATTTCTCTTCTCACCTTGTTCGAATCTTTAATATACAGAGAATTGGCTCGTATTATATCATCCGGTGGCTTATAGCTCTCTTGATTTTCTTCTTTCTAGATTGTATGAACTGTGTAATCACCAACTAAACTGTTTGTATTCTTGTATGAATTGTGTCATCATCACCCCAATTGTTCGTATTCTCTCAGTTTCACCCAAAAAGACGTAATTTCATAATTTTAGTTAAAACGGACCATTATTCATCTTCAAAGTTGATTTACCTTTGATGAATTCGCTGGAAAGTAATTGTCGAAGTTCATGACAACTATTCCCTCCCTTCCATCAAACCACTATAGGGAGGTCCCATGAAAATTGCAACCTTCAAAATTAGTCCTTTGCCAAAATTGCAACTTATTTCATAATTTTCAGGATATTTACACCTAATGATCAACCATTTTTGTTAATCGATTGCAATTTTCGGAAGTAGTATGAAGAAGACACTAAACTTGTGGGAAAAAAAAATCAAAATATCAATTTTGAATTTCAAAACGTTAAGGCTCCATTATCTTTTCCCCTTTCTGTTCCTGAGTTGCAAGTCTAGCTTCATATATATCACTATCAACATGGACAATGTACTTTGTTTTTAGACATTTCTATAATGCTATTATAGTAAAAAAAAAAAATGTCAGTATGTTGCTATTATGTGCATGAAGACTAAACCTGTGTATTTTACATGTGTTGTGATGACTATTTGCAGATAAATTTTGCTACAGTTGCATCCTGCAATGGACAAAAGTAGTCGCTAGTAAGCATTCTCCTCGTGAACCCTTCATAAAGTGTCCTCTTTGTAAGGTTTGTCATACATAATAACTTTCAGATATATAAAAACTAATTCCATGAAAATGGGAAAAGATTTATAAAAATGCTTTCTTGGTGAACTAGTTTTACAATCATGGTTATCTTGCAGACAAAAAGTTCATCAATAATATATGGGTATGATGGAAGTTCTTTCCAACAGCATCTTCTTTATGAGAATTCAGAAAATAGGTAATTTTTCTTTCTATATTATACTATTATGTTTTGTCCTTGTTTTTGATATTTAGTAAGCTTACTTATTCTATCCATTGTAAATGTAGCATTTTCTTCACAAAAGCCCATAAGTACAGATTACAGTGCTACTACATTGAGCTAGGTATTCTCCTTTATGTATACAGATAAGGTCATTAAATACTTTGCAAATGGTTTTGTATTATTGTATCAAACCAAAATATTTATGCTGACACTTTTTGCATATTTTATTCTATACTTACAAATTGTGTGTATCAGGTAATTCAATTGGTAATATTAACATATCGCGTTATTGGAAATCCAATAAATATCGTCAACCGAATCAATGGCTATATAATTGGGTGAGAAGGGAAATTCAAGCTTTGATTCAGGTTCACTTCATTATTTTTCTTGTATTCTTGATATATATTTCTCATATTTATCAATATTTTATACCATAAGAAGGTATTATAATTTACTTATAATTGATTCTTCTTTTTGTGTAGGAGAAAGATGTTGATATAATTGTGCATCATATTATTGGAGTCATTGACTCTTGGAGAAGGTAAGTTTTACCATTTGGTTGACTATTAGTCAAATATCTCAGTAATGGCAAATTGGTAATATTACAGAAACGAGCCAATGGGGTCTAAAGTTTCACCTGAATTAAAGCAACAAGGGTTTAAGAGAATGGTGGCGGATGCTGCAAAGCCTTTTTTGAGTGGGAGAACAGATCGATTTGTGAATGAGGTGGAAATGTTTTTAGCTTCTGGATTAAATATTGAAGCATATGATAAAGTTTATGTCAAACATTTGGGTTGGAAAATTCCGGAGATAGTGGGTGATGATATTGATGAAGAACATGTTGATTGTAACCCGGTGATTCCATTGTTGTCTTTTTCTGATGATGAGCTTGATGAAACCAGTTGAATGGTTTTCTGGTTTTAGAATTAGGAAAATAATTGTTTTGATGAGAATGTTAATTATGTGTGTATGTCGATGTTATTAATTGTTTATAACAATTTTTTTTGGAACAACCAATTGAATATATTAAAACAACTAGCAAGGAGTTGGTGAAGAAAATAAAAAATACATCATCACATCATGTTACAAGTGGATTTTTAATTCAATTTCATCAAGACATCTAAAATTTTCTACATCTAGATGATAACCAAGAAAATGCAATATCGACTATTGAATTAGAAACCGAGTTCTTGTGCATTTTGTCTCATTTGTTCTAGTTCTTGCAAAAACGTAGTGGGAGCTTTAAACATGAAAAAACAATTAATAAGTTTTTACATGGTGATTGTTAACATGTATGATTGTGGACATAAAGAAGTTGTGGAGCAAATTGTTTTCTAAAAAAAATAAATAAATAAATAAATAAATAATTGTTATGCATGTTTTGGACATAAAGAAGTTGTGGACCCCTATCCTTCATTCAAAACTTTATGTACTCCACTCTACACTCCACTCCTCATCCTCTATTTTATCTTCTCCAACTGAAAAATTCACGCATACACAGACGATAACATGGCAGTGAGCTCCGATTACGGAGCGTTCATGGAGAAATTCATTCTCCCGCCGTTGCCAACAACTTCTCCGGCGCAGCTCCCCTTGAATCGCCTCACTTTTGCTGTCAAAGACATGTGAGTTTTCTCTTGATCCTCCACTCATGGTCGCTCCGTCGCTGACTTTCAACCTCTCTTGCTATCTATTAACGTGCTTATTATATACAGCTGTTTACTGATACGGTGGTTCACCCAGTTTCATTGTCAATTTATAACAGTGATTAATTAATTAACTGGCACTACTTTTTTGTTTTTATGTTTGTAAAGCAAACGAATGCAGTGTTTCCTACATTTTGTTTGCAACACATGAACAAATGTAGATTAAAAGCAGGAAATCACAAATTATTTGGTTAATCTCTTACATGATTTCAATGGCCAACTGACTAATCAAATGATTTGTTTCAATTGCGCCTGATTGAAGTGATTTCTGAAAACCTACGTACTCAATGCATTTGTACTTTGTACTTGATACAATTTAGACATTTTTGAACTGGAAATCAGATTTGACATGGATGGACATGTGAGTGGATTTGGGAATCCAGATTGGTTGAAGACTCATTCTGCTGCAACCTCCACAGCTCCTGCTGTTTTGGCCATGTTGAATGCAGGTGCCACATGTATTGGAAGAACTGCCATGGATGAAATGGCTTACAGGTCAGATACATGATACAATAATACATCATTGCATCCATAATAATATCTGTCCAATTTACATGAAACAGAAAAAGATCTTAAAATTAATGTTTTGGGCAGCATAAATGGAGAAAATATACATTATGGTACACCCCTTAATTCATGTGCACCAGATCGTGTTCCTGGTGGATCTTCAAGTGGCTCTGCTGTAGCAGTTAGTGCTAAACTTGCTGATTTCTCTTTAGGTGAGTTTACAGGGAATGTTCTTTTTTGGAGTAAATGAAACGAGAGTAAATGACCATTTTGCTCTTTTGTCTATATGTGTAGGCACTGACACAGGTGGAAGTGTAAGAGTTCCTGGATCATACTGTGGAATCTTTGGGTTTCGCCCATCTCATGGAATTGTTTCCACTGAAGGAGTTATTCCCATGGCACAAAGTTTTGATACTGTTGGTAAGTTTTAATAATTGTTATTTTCATTAATAGGAATCAAATAATGGATGATATGATTAAATTATGTGGAAACTATGTTATAAAAACTTATAATTTGGAAATTAAATGCAGGATGGTTTTCTAGGGATCCTGGGACTTTAAACCATGTTGGGAAGATATTATTAGGGTTACCTATTGAAAAACTTGTGCAGCCTAATAAAGTTTTAATTGCTGAAGATTGTTTCAAGCTTCTTAGTATTCCAACCACACGAGTGACCAAAGTTGTTGCTACATCAATCGAGAAGTTATTCGGAGGTAATCATTTGATTTTCAAAATGACCGTTTTGCCCCTGATTTATATCTAACTTTAGTATTACAGGTGATATTTTACAGTCTATTAACCTTGGAGACATTATAGAAAGCAAAGTTCCAAGTCTGAAGCACTTCATGCAGAATGATAATACAGAAAACAAAGAATTCAGCATTAAATCTTTGGTTGCTCTTTCTACTTCCATGCGATTGCTTCAAAGGTGTGATTTTAATATTTCTTTTGCTGATATTTTCATCTTCTAGAAGATTAACATTGTGATTTTAACTCCTCCATTGTTGTGTAGATTTGAATTCAAGAAGAACCATGGTGAGTGGGTAACCACAGTGAAACCTAACTTGGGTCCAGGTATATCAGAAAGGGTATTTGATGCCCTTAACACATCAGAACAAGACATAGGCCCCTTTGACTCCATTAAAACCCAACTACAAGAAGCTCTCTCTTCTCTCTTAGGGGTATCACTCCTCTCCCTCTTGAAAATACATTTATTTTATTGTGGGTAAAAAAAGTAAAAAGTATTTTTTTTTTTTTTTTTTTTTTTGATATAAGGAAAATGGGATTATTGTTTTCCCTACTGTTCCTGGACCTCCACCTAAATTGCAAACAGAGACAACTTCATTGGAGACTTTTCGCGCCAGGGCATTTAGTTTGCTGTCTATAGCTGGAGTATCTGGATTCTGCCAGGTCAGCATTTAAAAACCATTATTTATTTATTTATTTATTTATTAAGAGATTTAAAACATGGTTTGGTTTATAGGTGACAATTCCACTAGGGAAATATGAGGATCTTCCTGTGTCTGTTTCTATGTTGGCAAACCATGGTTCAGATGGGTTCCTACTAAATCTTGTTGAAACCATTTATGACACTTTGAAAGAACAAGTTTCCATTGCTGAGAAAGTGAATTACTAGATTCAGAAGCCTAAATGTAATTGATAAATTGAAATTGCTTGATATGTATGAATATGCGTATAGATACACAGTTATATGTATATGAAAGCAGCAAGTAAGAGTAAAGTACAAGTATGTCTCTAAATCCAAAGCCTCAATGTATACCTATTATAGAATTATTATGATGCTTCCAGTTCCAAAAAATGATATCCAGTTTTTAATATTAATGTCAAAATATATGATATGCTGATAAAATACCAAGTTTGAGTCTGAACATGGATCCAACAAACTTTTTATTGATATTAAATACACACGAAACTAAGTGATGTGAGTGGTGTGCATATATAGATGGTATTATAAGAGAGCATATGTTCAAACACAACACAATGAGTGCTACACTTGGTTCATTACATAGCGCATCAGACACACAAGTTAATCTCAAGTCTAACAATGTGCAAATCTTTGCTTCTGTCCAACTCATCAAACTCTCATCTGCAACAAAACAATCCATCACCATTTATTTATTTATTCTCTCAAATTCATCATTTTCATCCTAATAGTTTTATCTCTTCTACTTAATACTTATTCATCATACTTCTATATAATGAATAAAGCGCCCGATATCAATATTGTTTGTATAATAATGAATCCACTTTCAAAATCCAAAACCATCATTACTTTCCATAATTATTATTAAAAAGTAATAAACAAAACTTAAACAATCGACATGTATGAGAAAAATCTTCATGTATTAACATGTAACAAAAAGAATATAAAAGCTCTAACATCACATAAGCGTAAAATAGGAATAAAGTAAAATGTTTGTAGCAAAGAGAGCAAGGAGCAGCATGAATACAAATAAACTTTTTTCCATTTTGATATCTTATCACATGAATCAATACATGTGTAAAGAAACCACATCTGTCCCCTTATATAAGTCTTGTTATGTATAATAAACATCCACCTATGGATGACACAACAAATATTAATAATTTATTCACCTTTTCGAATTAGTTGTTTCAAAAACTCAATTTACGGACGTGTAATCCACAAATTAAAAATCACATTCCAATCTAACATCACATAACCTATATTCAAAGTTGAAACAATTATATAATTTAAAAAATTTAACAAAATCACTTTAAAATTGATTTCATAATTATTTATTTACAAATACATATTATATTATCACAAATCAAATTTAAGAAGATAATTTTACAAAAAATCATATGTATTTATATAAAGATATAGAGCATTACATTGCGCATCAGATACACAAGTTAATCCCAAGTCTAACAATGTACAAATCTTAGCTTCTGTCTAACTCATCAAACTCTCATCTGCAACAAATCAATCCATCACCATTTATTTATTTATTCTCTCAAATTCATCATTTTCATGCTAATAGTTTTATCTCTTATACTTAATACTTATCATTTCTATTCATCATAATTCTATATAATGAATAAAGGGCCCGATATTAATATTGTTTCTATAATAATGAATCCACTTTGACAATCAAAACCATCATTACTTTCCATAATTATTATTAAAAACAAAACTTAAAGAATCAGACATGTAACAAAAAGAATATAAAAGCTCTAACATTACATAATCATAAAATAGGAATAAAGTAAAATATATGTACAAAGAGAGCAAGGAGCAGCATGAACACAAATAATTTTTTTTCCATTTTGATATCTTATCACAGGAATTAATACATGTGTAAAGAAACCACACCCCGCTCCCCTTATATAAGTCTTGTTATTAATAATTTATTCACCTTTTCAAATTAGGTGTTTCAAAAACTCAATTGATGCACACGTAATCCACAAATTAAAAATCTCAATCCAATCTAACATCATATAACTTATATTCAAAGTTGAAACAATTATATAATTTCAAAAATTTAACAAAATCACATAAAAATTGACTTCATAATTTTTTGAAAGAGACAAAATTGACTTCATAATTAATTATTTACAAACACATATTACGTTATTACAAATCAAATTTAAGATTTATAATTTTACAAACAATCATATGTATCTATATAAAGATATAAAGCATCACAAAATGATATTGTTAAGTACGAAAAATTAGGCCTTTGAAAATTACCAAACAAAAGTTAGGTAAAAACCTACACAAATAACTAATTAATTACAATTACTTTGAAAATCCAAAACCATCATTAATCATAATTAATTACAATTACTTTGTATCTGTTTCTTTGTTGGCAAAGCATGGTCCATATGGTTCCTACTAAATCTTGTTGAAATCCTTAATGACAAGTTGCCATTGCTGAGAAAGTGAGTTACTAGATTCAAATGCCTAATTGTAATTGAAATCGCTTGATACTTATGAATGGATTCATACGTATAGATACACAATTATATGTATATGTATATGCAACCAGCAAGTAAGAGATTATTATTATTGAATTTCATTCTATTTCCCTCCAACCAAATGCATGAGCATGACAAATTATGTTTCTTTCATACTCCGATTCCTTTGACAGATTCTATTCCTTTAAAAAACATTCTACATGAACCAATTTGTAATATTACAATAAGAATAAAGTACAAGTATGTTACATAAGCCAAAATGGAAACAGAAAGTGATTAGGTCTTGATGAAGCCACCAATTATTATTATTATTATTATTATTATTAGGGGAAAGAAAGGTGAAATCAAGTCAAATACAAACTGTCCAAAACTGCAAATCCAGCAGCAACACCACCCTCATTTGATGAAGAAACTTTAGTACGCATCAGGTAACCACATTGGTCGCTAACAATCACTTTCTCCTTGTTTCTGTCACATTTACAAGGCGTAATTAGATCGCATAATATGTCTAAAACACAATATATATATAAAAGCAATAAAAGTTAGATTTATTTATTTATATATAGATACCTTAGATATGCACTAAATATCCCGAGTTCAGAAATGGCCTGTTCTTTATAGTAGATACCTTCTCGAACAAGAAGTGTCGGGAAATCTTTTGGGAAAATCCTTTGCATGAGAATGTATGCTGCTTCTTCTTCGGATCCTTCTTTTTGCAATCTTAGAAGCGTTTCCTTCACTTCGTCTCCATAAATGTTGTTACCTGATTTGAATGAAAAGATATTGGTTAGACTAGAGACTATCAGAAGGGCATTTACGTCTTTTTACAAACTATAAAGAATCTAGGTAATCGTGAGGAAGTCCCAATTCTTGTATGTGGGACAAAAGATTATAACTTTTGTCCCATTGACATCTGTCCCGGTCCCACAAAACAATGACAGATAACAGATAACAGATAACAGGTGAGGTGTGAGTGTGACCTCCGCCTTCTCTTTGTGGCTTCATGACAAATGCCCCTGGCTGCTCGATAGCATTCTTGACAGCATTTGAATCATCCAAACTCCATAATCCAGCAAAGCATGCCCGAAGCTTGGCTATGTCATCTTTATTATCAAGAAACCTACTCCCACACGGAAAAATACAACACAAATTACCAAAATACCCCTATATATATGACTGCAACAATGAAATCAAGAATATTTACCTCTCGAGTACATTAGGTTTTGCAAGCTCCTGCTGAACTTTCTTGGTGCCAGTTAAATGATAAGAGATTGAAGGACACTTGATAGCTACAGATTTCTCCATAAGTAACCTAGCTTTCCACTCCTACAAGATTCATAAAACCATTAAAACATTAAATTGAAAATAATAGAATAAATGATCAAAGAAAAAAAATTCAAGAAATGTCTACTCACTGATTCAGAAGGATAATCGTTAGGTGCATATCCGGCTCTAAAATATATGACTGCAACAGTTTCACCATCCCTGCAAGTTAGTTTTCAACATTTAGCTTGTGTTTGAAGATAGTTTGACCAAATTACGGAAGTACCCCTATACTCTATACGTACACTACAAGAGTTCCATCTGAAAGAGTCTTCCCTTGTGCATCAATTTCCGCCAATGTCTTCCGAATAGCTCTAACATTATGTGTGTTGATGAGCTCAGGATCACATTTCAATTAATAAAAATTAAAAGAATTTTTTTATTTTTATTCATTTCAATATATGTAATGAGGGTATTTTGGTCTTTAATAACAAAAGAAACAACAAAATTCAACTTCTTCCCATTTGAAGGGGAATCCATCAAACATGGAATTTGAAGGAACCAAACGGAATTGAATTCCAATTCTGTCCATTTGGCATGGCAACAAAACAAGCCATGGAATGGAATCTTGAATTCCAATTCCGCTGGAATCCACAGCAATGCAAAAAGGATATTTTTCAGTGAGGGTTGCACTGAGCCAATGTTGGTCATACATATTCCGTTCTTCAGGTTGAACAACCACCATAACTACAGCACTGTATCACATAATTAACTTCTCATTCAACATTATATAAAAAAAAAAAATCAATAACAAGATCCAACCTCGGATTGTTATATTCCATCCACGCCTTTGCCAACACCTCAGCAAACTTATTTGCTGAATTATTTTTTGGAATCCTTCTGAAATCAACCCCCAAGTGTTCTTTATATTGAGAGAGTAAGCTCCTGCAAGATGATATATGTATTTATAATCTTATTCATAACAACTAAGAATTAGAATCAGAAACAGAAAAACAGTTGATTAAAAATAGAAATACTTACCTATGAAGCTCACTAACAAGACAACTTAACCCTGAGAATGAACATGATATTGTGTTGAGCTCTATTTGGAGAAGTAAATTTGTATTTTCATCAAGCATATAATCCGAGCGATGTAATCCCAAGCGAATATCCTAGGGGCAAGATTTAGAAATTTTAGTTAACTTCCACAAAACCTAATTTGGTAAACTATGTATTGACTTAATAGAAAATATCCTAACGTTTTACAACATAAAGATTAAAGGGTTGATTACCCTACAATGATACCTCCTTCTTGCCGATTTGTAGCATCCTTGAGTGAATATCTAAAAGTCTGGAGGTGAAGGCATCCACTTTCTTTGTTCTGAAATTACAAAGAGAATGTGATCAATTTCATCCAAATTGAATTTAGATTAAGTGCTTAACAGTTGACATAAATCATTTCAGAGAGAAACCTTGAGAGAGTGTCCTGCAAAAACTTGCCATCCAAACTAACTCGGTCTACTAACTCATTGAAAATGGGGGCTAACTCACACGCTTGCTTCCAGTGACTTTCTGGAAACGAATATGGTAGTAATGCAATTGGGGCGTGAACCAAGCCGACTCCAGGAATCGATCCTGATCTCTGCAAATTCAGTTATAATCAAAACGATACATATCAGTATATCAGAATCCCCAAATCGATAAATAACTTAACACTTAGAACCCTACAAGTGAATCGACTGAAATCGATAAGTGTTTGATTGAAGCTAAAATTACACAAAAGGATGAACAAACCTGGACGTTTCTGTCTCCAACAACGAGTCCATGAAGAGAGCTCCAAACGAGAGCATCATAAACCAGCTTTTGAAGTAATTCCGAGTCGATTGTGTGAGGATCAGACATGGGGTTTTTCACGAAGCTTTTTTGTTGGGTGGTTTTGATTTCTGGAATGCTGCCGCTGCCGCAATTGGGTGGCGAATTTATTGAGAACTTGGATGAAGATTTGTGGAATTGGGAATAAGTGTGAGTGGAGAGAATGAATGTCGATGTTGATTTGGGGTGATGGAGAGTGGATGAAAAGCAATGGTGATTGGGTAAAGAAAGGGAGAATGAAGAAGAGGAAGAGCAGCCAGCACCCATTTTGACCTTGTGTCCCACTTACACATCCCATCTTTATAAGTGCTTACAAATAATATTTGTCTGAATTAAGTTCAAGATTTTGTCTCTTTTGGTTTAACTTTTAGAATGGATGTTACTATTCATATATTTATTTTATTTGATAAAAAAAAATTAAGAGGTGTAAATAAGTAATTAAAGATGTTTAGTAAAATAAATATTAAAAACTAATTTAATTAAAGACTAAACTGCAAAATTGGTCCTTATGGTTTCGTAAAAACTGTGGATAGAGTCCAAAACGTTTCTGACTTGTATGGAAGGTCCAAAATCAAGAATTTTCTGTGGTTTTGGTCCCTGGAAGACTTGAAATGACTGTTATGCCTTTTTAATTTCTTTTTTAAATTATATATATATTTTTAATAGTTTTTTAATTTAAAAATAATAAATAAAAAAATCAGCCCACCCCTTCCCCCCCTTCTTTCTCTTTCTCTCTCTTTTGACTTTCTCTCTCCACCGTGTACCCATGTAATATTTCTCTTCACACATATTTCCAATCATACTCTTACCCCCTTTCTTCTTAAGAACCCTAAAAATCATTTTCACATTTCTCATAATCAGAGGTTCTAAAATCCGATTTACCGTAAAATCAGTTGTAGAGAACTGAACGGAAGGCCTATCGGAGTTATCGAAATTACAGGCCCACCTTCTGGTTCAACTCGGACTTGTCACGGTTTAAAGAAGCTTGAAATTGATGGTTCCTTTGTTATCAAACTGGGTTGTGGAAAGAAGTTTACAGAAGGGTATACATTCATCACCAAGAGAGGCATCAATGGGTGATTCAGGGTGTTGGTATTATAAGATTTACTATTGTCGATGTCGTATTATACAGGGCATAGTAGGAGGAATAAAAAGGATACAACCCGATATGGTTTGAAACCAAATTCTCCGGCGATGATGTTGGTGTCTGAGGTTATTTGTCGGCATTGATCTTATTTCTTCGATAGCTGATGTTCATCTTGAAAGTTTTGAGGAAGAGAGTGTAGAGGCGCAAAAAGAGAGAGATATGTTTTAGCTTACATTCGTTCTTCATACTTCAAACGCGAGACAAAAGAGTGGGAGGGGTTAACTATTCTCAATAGTTTGGCTTCTGGTAGCCTTAAAGGAAGCGAGTGAGATGTTTGGGTTTATGGGTTAGTTTGTTCTTCTGCGAAGCTTCCATTAAAGACAACCATGGTGGTTTTAGGATGATCTTAGGCCAGTAAATAAAGAGTGAGAAACAGAGACAAAGTGCATACAACAAGAGATGGTTGAATTTCAAGGTGGACTTCACAACCTCGTTTGTTTGCCGGTAAAGCAACAGGTTGTGATCATCGGCAATAGTAAATCCTTGAATGATTGATGGAGATTACAAGTGTCGAATTATATACCCCACCACCGCAATTGTATTTCTACTCGTATTTATGTTCTCAGATGGTTTCGCACCCGTACTTCTAGATCATGATTCGTATATGCAGCAGCCATCAGATTTTTTTGAGATGTTTAGTGATGAAAATCCAAACGGGTATGTGTGTCTTTGAATTGTAGTTTTTCAATGAATTTATGTATACACATGTGTGTAAGTGTTTAATTTTCTGTATATATATATATATATATATATATATATATATATATATATATATATATATATATATATATAATATATATATATATGAGTTATGTTTGATCAGTTGCAGGTGTGTCAATGTGTTTGTATTTGCAACTGAGGTTGTATTTGTGTGTGTTAATGAGAGGGAGATAGAGAATGAGAATGTATGAAAGAGGGTGAGGACAATGTTGGAGGATCCAATTTGCTGGAGAAGAGAGGGATTAGAGGTATAAGAAGTCGCCGGAAAGAGGGTGAGCACGTCAAGTTTCAAGGAAGATGGTGAGTTGTAGGGTCATCTACAGTTTAGTAATGTATGTATGGAATGTTTATTTTTGCAGTTGAATGTGAGGAAGAAGAAGATGAGAGAGAAAGTCAAAGAGAGAGAGAGATACTAGGAGGGTACGTTGGAGGGGTAAGGGTGGGGGTTTGATAATTCTTTTTTATTTTTGAATTATAATAATAGTAAAAAAACATTAAAAAATATAAAAATAAAATTAAAAGGGCAAATGAGTCATTTTAACTTTATCAGGGACCAAAACCACAAAATGTTTCCGATTTTGGACCATCTATGCAAGTCGAAAAGATTTTGGACCTTATCCACACTTTTTTGCTAACCACAGGGACCAAATTTGCAGTTTAGTCTTAATTAAACTTTCATAGTAAAAAACTCAAAATTATTAATTTTAAAATAAGTTATTAATTAAAAGATATTTTTTAGTTATATAAAATTATGATCGTTGATTTAAATAAATACGTGAAATTATATCATCTTATAATTTGTATTAATTTTATTTTAATTTTAATTTTAATATTATTAATTTAATATAATTAGAATGAGAAATTTAAATTTTGAAATTTGAAATAGAGATTTAATAGGTTGACAAGTGTTATGATATTAATTAGGAATATTCTGATACATGACAAAAGAAGAATAAAACTATTCTTTTCTTAGAATAGATTTAAAAAAAAGATGTATATTTAGTAATGGGGTCATCATTTATAATTTATATGGACAGTCGTTATGATTTTATGTGGATGTTTGTGATTTCTTATTTAAGATGCTTATTAGTTATTGTGGTTTGACACCACTAATAAATATTTTTTAGTTTTTAGATAAAGCAAAAATATAATCATTATTTACTTAAACAAAGAGTTTTTCATAAATCGATACATTGTAAGTTATTCAAAACAACTTATAACTTATTTAAACAAAATTACTAACCTTATTATAACTCTACACTTTTATATACATATATCTAAGATGTTTTTTTGGTCATTTTATGCGAATAAATAAAATTTGTCAAACACTAGAAAACAACTTATCAACTTATTATATTTTGGTATCAGATAAGCTAATCCAAAAAAAAAAAATTAACTCTGTTTTTACACCGAACCGAATAAACTAATAAACACTTTTACAAAATAAGCATGAACCGTTGTAAATAAGCGATCCCAAACACCCTTATATCTATCATGGTTGATCCATTTGCTAATTACTGTTTGTTTATCTTTGTTGAAATGCAAATGACTATTTATCCCATTTTATTATTATTCTTTTATTTTTGTTGTATGTTCTATTATTTAATATTTTAAATTAATCTTTTTTTTCTCTCTCACGGAAAAATCCAACAAGATCAATGCATTAACTTGTTGCCAAACTCTTTTCAGTTTTTCTTTACTATCAAATTTATTATAAATTGTTTCCTAATCGATCGTTTTGTAAGCAATTCTACACTAAAACATGTTATATATTAGAGCATCTCTAATTAGGGGTGTAATCAAGAGGTGTGAAAGCGACATTGAGGCTGGACACAAGGGTTTGTGGCTGAGGGCGACAATGATGTGGCCGACATCGTTGTAGAGGCTGGGCGGAGGAGTTCCCAGCAGGATGGAGGCGATGTGTGTATGCGACGAATTTGCAAAGACATAAGTGAAAGCTCTTAGAGCATCTCCAACTAGGGGTGTAATCAAGTCGAACTAATTCATGACAACTATGGTAAAAGTGTATCAAAGACTAATCTTTTTACGTGAGTTGCCATTGTCTAAGAAGTCGTTATCTATTCCTAGATTTTTGAAAAAATTGTTGTTAAGAAATTCTTTGTAAGAAATAATTATCTTATTCGCTTCAATTTGTGATAGTTACATATTAATTACATTAATAATAATTCAATATGTTTTAATGAGTTCGCATTTCAATTATCTATGAGTAAATATTGTTAAAAAAGAAAGCCAATACAATCATCATATAATCGTATTTTACATTAAAATTTAATTTATAAGAACATCTCTAAAGGTCAAACTATACTACGATTTAAAATTATTGTCATTTGATTATTCATTAACTTTAACCTCTAAATAAAAGTTATCTTTAATGGTTAACGTCTTATTATAGCGGAGCCTAAAACCACCATGTCATAAACATGAAATTTGTTGACTTCATTTCTCCTGTTTTAATAAGCTCTCGATCACATATAACCTGATTTTCTTTTGCCAAAAACAGATGAATGAAGTTACAAAAAGTATTTGGAAAATTAATGTCTATATTTTTGAACTAGTTCTATTTTTTTGAAGATAAAAACTTCATGATTTTCGAACTAGTTCAATAATTTTGAAAGAATAAAATATCAGTTACAAAGAGTATTTTGAAAATTCATGTCAAGATTTTCGAAAATTTCCAAACTAGTTCTAGGTTATCAAAGATAGAAGGTACTTTTGTTTATGCAAAAAGATTTCGAAAATGGAATTTCTTCACATATTTTCGAAGATATATATTCTGATTTTCGAACATATTCTTCAGGAAAACAAAAGTCAACGATTTTGGAAGGTGATATTTCAAAGTCATGAGAAAATCGTGAAAAAGACATCACCTTAAATAAAGGGGGCCATTTAGAAAAAAAGTATGATATTCGAAAATTCTTTACTTGGGAAATATTATACTTTTAGCACATTCCAAATACGTACTACATTTTCGAAAAGCCTGGTCATATTCTTATGTTTTTAGAAAAAGTGGTCATTATGACATATCTTTTCTATGTGGTTAATGAGGTCAATACCTCTTAAATCAAATATTATGTTTTTTTACACAAATAAAACATCCAAAATGATTTCAAACTTCATTGATCCTTTTGTACTCTCATACATCCTTTTCTATATCTCCACATGAACAACTGTTATTTTGCATCTGTTAAGAAAAATATCACAAACGACCTCCAAACCGAATCTCAAGTCCTTTTCCACCAATTCCAGCAATGAAACATCTGAATCCACACTGCTGTAGCTCAGCAGTTACTGCATCAACAACAGAAGCAGACAACACTTTTCCAATAGTTAAGGAAATTATAAATAAACATATAATCTCAATCTTATCATGTCATGTCATGTCATGTATCAGATTAGCAATGGAGAAAAGGATACGTGCAGGTAATAAAGTGAGAACACATCCACCTCCACCAGCTCCTGTCAATTTGGAAGACAATTTGTATTTATGGGTTGTGCTGATTACTGTTTCAATAGAAGCATGGCTGACACCCATACATTGAAGCAGACCTTGATTCATTTCCATCAACTCTTCAACTTTCTCTTCTTTTTCAACAACTGCAAGATCATTGGAAGAAGATAATTGGATTGTGGACGCCAGCTCATTGCTGATGTAATCAACAGCAGTGAAAACAGATGTCATTGTGTCTGGATGTCTGTCTCTTCTTCCTGCAACACTTGTGATTAATGCCTTTGTGTTTCTACCAACTCTTGTGTCTGTGATTAGCATTTTCAGTGGCATATTGGATTTGATGGAGGTTAAAGCACCAGATTCTAACTTTATCAAGTTTCCTATACCATAATTTGTAGATACATAATCAGGAAAAAAAAAAAAAAACGAAAGAAATGTATAACAAACACATATATAATAAACTCAAACATAAGTAACATACCCATTGTGCTAACTGTATTGTCTATCCCAGATGGCTTTCCATGAATAATCTTTTCACCTTCAAAAGCCCATTCATTTGCCAATTTCTGTTCTTTTTCACCAAGTGATAGCCAATCCTCACTGCTGAAGTCAAGATTTACAGAATCTGATGAAGCAAGTAAGGCGCCAGATAGTGAAACACAGTATGCTGCAGATGATCCTAATCCTGAAGCAAGAGGAAGCTCAGAACTCACAACTACCCTTGCTGGTTTATCCCTGAATTAACCACATACATAGACAATTAATCAACAGGTTTGAAGGTTTATAAGAATAAGATCCATCGACTTACCCTTGGATAGAGGTGTATAACCAGAGAAAAGCAACAACTCCAGCAGCTATTTCGATTTTTGACTCTGGAATTGAATGCTCTTCCACTAGTGTGGCGATGAGTTTCATGGTCTCTGAAGAACATGATGTTGGTGAGGATGCAGGGCTATCGATTGTTTGAGATAATGTTTCTCTGATTCTTTTAGTCGGCCATGAAAATTCCAGGCCTACATCTCTGAGCTGGAGTGATAGTGTTTCAGAGCTATCTATCCCAAACAAGAAAAAATGTACAAGGAAGAAATAAGATTCTCTGTAAATAAAGCACCTAATTCATACATCTTAATGGAATAACAATTGCTATACATTCAATTTCATGATATGAACCCTAGAGAACGAGGATTGTCATTCCATCGATCAGCTGGAACGCATCTTAATCAGTTTATTTATTATGAGATTCAGAAGAAAACGAAGATGAATTTCAGGGCCTGAAAATTTGCTACAGTAATCGAAATAAAAAGAAAATAAAGCGAGATTCGAAAAGAAAACAGTGGTACGTAAACGTAATGTACAAGTAGAGAAGGGAAATGGTGGGTGTATTACGGGAAGGTGGAGGGAAAGTAAGAGAGACGTAAGTGTAGAGGTCGATGGCAGCAGCGACGGCGGCGGATCCATAGACGACGGCGTGCTCGCCGGAGAGTATGATCTTGCCTGGAGCCCTGGCTTTCACTTCCATGCCCCTCGTTAACATGCTGCTCATTATGATGATTATGGTTGTTTCTGTAACGGTTGGAGCCGGATCTTAAATTTTCTTTTTATATGTATATTTTTTAGATAATTCTCATTGGTTACATACTTATTTAAAAAAGTATATTTTTATTTTTTATTTATATAGTAATGGTTTTTTTATATCAGTTTTGTATCATTTGTGTTTACCAATTTATGTAACTTGTTTTACGATCTGATCTTAATTAGCCAAAAAAAAAAATTTAAACAAAATATTTAAAAGAAACTTATAGCCAATGCGTTTCAACCAAACAACTTAACCCTTGTATACACACTCATATCCAAAAATGGTAAAAACTTTGCCACAAATAGAGTCTAACAACTATATATTCGGTTTTTTTTTTATTTTTTTTTATTTTTAAGTTGCACTTAAAAAAAATTAGAAAACTCAGACTTTTTAACCGGTTAAGGTTAATCGGACCCCATTTAAAATCCTATAATAGGTCGGGCTTTCTACAATCGGGATCTTACTCTTTTTAGCCGGTCTTGATCCAGGACTAGGCATATAGGTTAATTTGTCTGATGCTCGCCTATAAGGCTATCCAGAGTGGGGGTAGAAGAAGACACGTAATGCTGACATGGACATCTAAGTCACGTATGAACACTGTCCCGATGTCCGGTGGCTTGGTTGTGACGGGGATGGGAAAACGCTCAAAGACAACTAATAGGAAGAAGGAGGGCAGTAGCAACGGTCAAAAATTTGACCGGTTCCTTTGTTTCTTTTTTCTTTTTTACCATTGGACCCAAAAAAATCAATTTAAAAACCATACACTACAACTATAAATATCACTTATTTTACATACATTTTACACTACAAAAACACACGATCTCTTTCCATTTTACAAAAAAAAAAAAAAAAAAAAAAAAAAAAAAAAACTTTTTTTCTTTTTGACTAGTTCCTATGCTTTTTTAGTAATTTAGGTTTAATTTTCTATGTTTTTTTTAGTAATTTAGGTTTTAAAATTCTATGTTTTTTAATTAATGTAATGTGGTTTTAATAAATATAAAATACTCCATCCGTCCCAAAATTATAGTCCATCTTTCTTTTTTAGTTTTTTGTCCCAAAATAATAGTCCACTTCTAAAAATAAATAACATTTTTACCAAAATACTCCTTCATTATTACTTAACCAACTTAGCATTTAATGAAACATTAAATGTAAAGTAAGGACAAAACTGTCATTTTATTAAATAAAGTTAGTGGTATTTAATGCTTTTCTTAATATGTGTGTTTTTTTGTCTGTGGACAATAATATTGGGACGGAGGGAGTAAATATGTTTTTATTTAATTTAATGTTAAAAGATAAAAGATAAAAAGATAAATATTATGAAGTAGTGGTTTGGTGGTGAGTTTGTAATGTAGCTCAAGTATTTTTTGAGTGGTTTGGTGTGACTACTTCCATAGCCTAAGTCTATAACCTACCTAAACACCCCTAGACTTGTGGAAAAACATATTTAAGATCTTGAATTCAACAAGATTTGTTTCTATTTCCACAAGGTGGCTTAACATACCTTTATGAAGCACAAAAGCGAGTCTTCATCTACACCCAAAACATGATGAGAATGTATATCTACCATTAAATGAGAGATGTCTTAAGTTCAAATCTTAGAGGTTTTGAATCAAATGATGGCCAGAAAAAGAGTGTGCGGCGTAGTTGTGGGAGTCGTATTGTGTGGTGGGTTAAATGAATTCATTCTAATGGAAAACTTGAGAAACACTAATTTTGTCAATATCATTACGATTTGGTTATCCCCATCATGACCATCATCGCTTACATGGTCTAAGAGAGCATTGAGGTACCATCAAATTCTTCCATCCATGCACCCTTCAGGGCTTGGACCCGCCACTTTTGCTCTGCTATCATTTCAGGCTATAGGCTTATAGTCCCCATTGTTGCATCTTTGAAAGTTGTATGATTTAAGTGGGAAGTGGACTAATTACTTTCTAGGACTATTAATGATAATGAGCATTCAAAGTCTTTTGTAGTCCCGTCGTTTTTGTGGGATAAAAAGTTGTCATTTTTGTGGGATAAAAAGTTGTCACTTTTGTCTCATTCAATACATGCCAAACACAAATCAATTTCAATCCAATTCATTGCCAAAAATGTGTTACTTAGTATTGTCCCATACTCGATATGCTTTTGAAATTAAAAATCAATACACAAGGGTTTGAGTGACACCGACTTCTTTCCAAAATTTTAAACCGAGTGTGTGCTAGTTTACTAGATTCACGTGTTCCAAATTTACTACGTTAAATTTGTTATTAGAGAAAAAAAATGCCATTTTATACAAACAATTTTTGTATTAAAACACCTAATTAAGCTATAAACTAAAACTGAAAGACAAAAGAATTAATTATTCATTAAATAATGTAGTTTCAGGTTACTAAGAAACTGAAATCTTTCAACGTTTAAAAGCTCACGGGATATAGAAGCACCCAATCTCCTTCTCTTTGAAGTTATAAACAAAACTTAAAACCTTCATTAATGAAGATTATGAAGTTATCTGTAGCACTTTTGGCAATCCTCGTGCTATTTGACCCATTTCTTGGTATGCATGTTTAGAGCTCTTCTTGGTTACATTAATATGTGGTTGATTTCTTTGAAACCAAAAATCTTTATTTACAATTTCAAAATCTATCTGTTTTTTTGTAAAAATCATGACAACATTTACACATCTTGTTCTATGTTTAGTACAATAGTATATCTTATGAAATACTGTTAAAAAAAATTAAACAGTTTATATACTAATGTGTATCAAATTTATGGCCAGTTTTCTAAGTTTGACCTTGAAAATTAACCTATGGGTTAAGGTGTTTTTAAGGTCAAACATGTCACTTTACAAAATAAAATTTGATATGGTACACATGTTTCTCTCTTGTATATTTAGTGTATGTGCATGTATTGATATTTCAATAACCAAATTACAAATAAGGTCAAATATGTCACTTTACAAAATAAAATTTGATATGGTTCATTTATGATAAAGCCAATGTTTCTCTCTTGTATATTTAGTGTATGTGCATGTATTGATATTTCAATAAGCAAATTACAAAGATAATAGAATGTGTATACAAGTTTGAAACAGTCTAGTTCATGATCACATCAATATATATTTTTCTATATGTCATGTATTTACTAAGGAATGCATACTGGTTTTGTGAACGAAATTTTGAACTTTGGCCTTCAAAGTCAATTCATAACGAGATTTACATATATTTGATCATCAAATAGGTGTGAACTGCAAGTTGACTTTGATATGTAAAGATGAACAAGTGTCTAAGCCACCTCTTTCATGCTCACCAAAGTCATGCGACCAATTGTGTGCAAAATTGCATGATAAAGGATGGGGAAAATGCGATGATCAACGTAAGGATGTTTGTCAATGTTTCTATGTTTGCTATAAAGACCTTCGGATTGCCAAATAAACTCTACAAGCCTGGCTTCTATTGTTATTGATCTTCGTATTTTAATTATTACATGTTTTTTTCTCGTATTTGTTAGTTTAATTAAATCATAATCGATATATGCTCCAATGATCTGTTTAATTTAATTACGTTATTTTCAACCTTTAGTATCATCATGGATGCATTGGCAGTTCTATTCTAAACTAATCATTATAATTGTGTTTTAAACACCGGTGAAATCAAGTATTCTTGAATGAGTGTGTTTTGGCATTTAAGAAAGAAAATTGAGTTGTAATAAATTCATGTTACTAGGGGATGTTTTAACTTTTTTCTGGTGTATTCTAATTCACTAAGCTAATAAATAACCTGTTAAAAAGGGATACAATTCTTTTGGAATTTTGGAATTTCGCAATGCAAAATTTGTAGTCAGTTTGATACTGTTCTATAAAAAGTTTTCATTTATGGAAAGCGTTCCCCAAATATGACTATTTACGTCTGTTTCTCTCAATATAACTATATAGCTGATAAACCGGTAATCAATTACAAGCAGTTTGTAAAAACAAATATTGCAAGATAATTTTATCGCAAGATGATTTTATTTCTATATTTAAATTAAATGCTGAATGAATTATCGTTTCCAACATCAAAAACTCAAAATCCAAATATAAACCGTGCACACAAACAGTGAACTGCATCAGTTACTACACACAGCTGGTTTGGTTACAAACCATCATCTGTTATTTAACCAAAGCTATACTAAAACAAACAGAGAGTTGACTTGTTGACCATCTCAATTCCTGGGCATATAGATATCATGGGGAGAGGTTGCAGCAGTTATTGGAAAAAACCTGATGGAAAAAGCGCAAGGCAAAGGAGGAAGCATGTACTTGTCATGAACACAAGGGGACCAGCTGTCATCACCACCTATACCCATATGCTTGTGGTCAAGATGCACCTGTGGTTGATCAATAAAAGCAACATTAATGTCAGTTGCATATTTCGGAAAAAAGGTGAATGAAACATTGTTGCATAAATATATATAGATGTGTCATGTGTATGTGTGCATGCATGAAAGCAAAAAGTTACCTCAATGTCATCTCCCTTAACAAGTTCCTCATTGTGTGTTGCACGATCAAGCTCCTTTGTGCTATAATAACTTGCATTCAATTGCATTGGTGAAGAAGAGTTGCCATAAATAGAAGCATAGATTCCGGAACCTTTATCGTTTTGGAAAGTGACCCATCTAACATCTGCTCGACCTGAGCATTCTCCAGGAACTATATAAGGAACATGCATTTCATCAACTTTCTTCTCATATAACCCTACATGAGCAGCCGCCTTACGATCCGGATAACATTCAAACGGTCCCCTCCCGTACCATTTAACATTATTCATCGATTTCTCCAAATGGAATTCCACACCAACACGTGGCAAAGGTGGAAGATCTGATCGGGGTTTTACATTGCAAAACAACACAACGTCTCCTGAACCATGGAACGAGTATTTCATGTCAACTTTGAAAAGATTGTTTGATGATGATGATCCTTCCGGAGTATCACCATGATACACAATGTTTACTTCAAGAAGATGATCTGAGATCTTTGTAACAACACTTGAGTTTTCTTTATTGAAACATATTTTATCCAAATTAGCCGCTTTCCATTTAGAGAAATAACTATTGGCTTCTCCTCCTTTGTCATTGTCTGTGGGAGCACGCCAGAAGCATGGTGTTATGCCTTTAAGCAACACTGGAACTCCTTCAACCTATTTGTTTATAACCATTAGTTAAAAATTAAACGAATTTGTATGGATCAATGGACATATAACATAGAAGAAGTGATTACCTTCCAGCTCTCTATTGCACCAGACTGAGTGTTGAAAGTTATTTCTGAGACGTTTTGGCGGATGATAAGTTTGTGGTCTACGGTTTCCCAATTCAATGTGATTTCTTTTGTCTTTGGGACCTTCAACTCCAATAAGAGAGTGTAAGGTGCTATTTTATTTCTTTTTAACTTTATGGACTTAATGGGAACATGACTTAATTTTTTACTTAATGGGTAAACAAAAGGATAAAATGATCATTTACTCGCATTCAGATAGTTCATTCCGTCCACGAAACAGATTTTGTCTATGCAAAACTTACTCATACACACATTTTATAACCATTCATCACTTCATACACACAACACTTAATGGGAAAAAGAAAGAAACAAAGCCCTTAATCCAGTAAACTATATATGGGTGTTTCTTCACTTAATGCAGAAAGAACTTAATAGAGAAAGTATTGGAAAGGAGGCTTTCCCATTAAGTGCTAACTTTTTACAATTCCATTCCTCGAGTATGCCGTCATTTTCTCCAACATTTTTTAAACATCCTTTATCCAGACAACACTTAATGAAAAAGAAAAGAAACAAAGCCTAAGATGGTCTCTAAACAAGATTTCAAGAACCAACATACCATTATTGATTCCTATAAACTCAAATGTGAGATGAGAGGCTTGTTTCAGAATGAGAATACTTACATGGGAGATGGAATTTTTCTTCATAGGCAACTCAAATTGTTGAGATGACACAACATGACCAGATTGAAGCCACCGTGTGGGATGCAAAAGCTTTGCAGTTATAGTCAAAAAGGTTTCGGAAGAAGAGGATGAAGTCCATGATGAATACCATGGGCCCGATTCCCATTTGATATCATAACTACTTTGGGGATCTAATGTTGGTAGACTCAGAATTCCAGAATCAAGTTTACATCCATCACCTTCAATCACCCAATTAAACTCTAGATCTTCTGTTGTTTGATAGAAATTGGTGTTTGTAATCTATGAACGAAAAACGCAAGATCAAGGTTAACATTAGCTATATAGAAAGCACAAATGGACATATGATACACAACATAAATATTTTCACGAAAATGATATAGACAAATAAGTAAGAGGAGTGATGATATTGATACCTTAATTACGCCATTGGTGAATGAAATTTTAATTGGTTGATAGCAATACTTGACCTCTGAAAACAAATAAACAAAGGATCGCATCATAATTAGCGAAATGAAGTAATTCTTATACATTGTCTCTACCAAAAGATTCATCATGGAAACATTTATGTTGGTAATAACTAAAAAAAAAAGCTAAATACTAAGCAAAAAAATTATAGCAATCACCATTTAGAGCAGGATGAGGAGTCCGATCAGGCCATATGAGACCATTTAAGCAGAAATTTAAGTCATTTGGTGTATCTCCAAAGTCACCTCCATATGCCCAGTATTTGCTACCATTTGCATTTTCCTTGAGTAACCCCTGAAACCAGATGCAAATATTTAGAACTACCCTTGCACCACATTTACAGTTTTATAAAATTTAAAAGATGAGTTTCAAACCTGGTCAACCCAATCCCAAATAAACCCTCCTTGTAGACCAAATGTGCTATCGATTGCTTCCCAATATTCATGAATGTTTCCATTGCTATTACCCATGGCATGTGAATACCTGAATTTTGTATGCAAGTCAATTTACGTAATAAACAAAATGTTAGCCAATAAAAAGAGAGTATTTAGATTTAAAGTGATGAGATGAACATACTCGCACAATATAAGAGGCCTTGTTTCATTTGGATCTTTAGCTATCTTAACACAATCCCAAATACGCATGTACATAGGACATACAATGTCTGTTGATGAGGTCCTCGATCCTCCACCTTCATAGTGTACAACTCTTGATGGATCCTTTCCACGAATCCACCCTGAAATTCATGATTTTGTATCAATCAATATAAATTATAAAGTGAAAGATAACTTTGATGCAAAACAATTCATATCATATATACCAGCAAGAGCAGCATGATTAGGTCCATAGCTTGCTTCATTTCCTAAAGACCAAGAAATTATGCATGCATGGTTTTTGTCTCTTTCCACCATGCCAATAACACGATCCAACATAGATATAGCCCAACTCGGTTCCTGTGATGGATGCTTGAAATCCCGAGAAAGATCAAAACCGTGTGTCTCAATATTGGCCTCATCTATCATGTACATTCCAAACAAATCGCATAATTCATACCATCTTTGATGTTGAGGATAATGGCTGTTTCTAACAGCATTGATATTATGTTCTTTCATTAAAACCAAGTCCTACAATACAAGTAACAAAACTACTTCATAAAATGTTTTGCAAGAAAACGAATAAAAAAGACAAATGAATTTGATGTGTCACCTTAACCATGCAAGATTCAATGTTTGTCTTTCCTATACGTGGATGGTGTTCATGTCTGTTTACACCTCTTATTACAACTGGATGCCCATTAACAAGCAACTGTTTTGGAGCTTTTGAAATTTGTCTTATGCCTACTTGACATGATTCACAGTCGATAATATTGCCTGATGCATCTTTCATGGTGACAACTAAAGTATACAGATTTGGCTGCATGCAACATAATCCAGTGTTATTAGAATGAAGAGGTGAAAAGAAAAGTAATTTGTTTGATTAAAAGACAAGATTTCTCACTTGTTCTGCAGACCAAAGCTTGGGATTTTTCAGTTTTCCTTCTAATCGATACCCATGAAACCCTAAAGGAAAATGAGGGGGCTGCTGAAGCTCCAAACTGGCCACATTAGTCGATAGCAGATTAGTACCCTCATTGGTATTTATATCAAACAGCGTGGCTTCAATTTTGATATCTGTAATGTCATTGATCTTCGTAGACTTATCAAGTATTACTTCAACCTAGTGTATAAAATAAAAGAATTCCACCATTATACAACATTACAACTCTTCTTACTTTAAAAGATCACGAAATTGAAAGCAAAAAATCAGTAGTGAAGATGTTAATTACCTCTAAATCTGCATAGGTAGAACTTTCGGCTAAACTTGATCTAAAGAAATAATCTGCAATGAATACCTTAACACATGCAGACAACATAAGTTTGTGTGAAAGAATAGAAAGACTTTAGCTGATGTAAGAAAAGTCAAAAACCTTTGGTTTGGATAAAAGGAGAACATCTCTATGGATGCCAGACAACCACCAATGATCTTGATCTTCAAGATAAGAACCATCACTCCATCTATATACTTTTACAGCTACAACATTCTTCTTGTCAGATCCACACTCATGACAAAACTCGGTTATTTCAAATTCAGCAGGTAGTCTACTATCCTGGCTGACCAAACACCAAAACCAATAAAGCTTGTGAATATGTATATCATATTAGAATAACTGTGCTTGTTGGAAGGGTACAATGATCATTCACTTTCATTCAGACATCTCAATCAGTCTACAAAAGAAATAGTACTTATCCATTCAGCACCAAGCATTTAATTTACCCATAAAGCACTTCATGGAGGGGAAAAGAACACGCCCTTAATCAGGTAAAGCTATATATGGATACTTTCTTATTAACTTGGTATAAAAAGAATGACGTTATAGAGAAAGTGAGGGAAATGAAGTTCTCATTAACTCCTAACTCTTTAAAAATTTGTCCTTATTTATATTTTCTTTCTATTTCCCCAAGGGTGTTTGTCATTTTCTTAAAATATGTTTGAAACATCATTTATCCACATAGCACTTATGGGAAGATATTAAAGAAACATACTTAAAGAGCATTCAAGACAAAACCTGTATCCAACAAGAGATCCATTGACCCAAACATGGAAAGCAGAATCAACCGCTTCAAAGTGCAATAATATCCGTCTACCTGCCAATATTAATCAAGTCATAATTAAAGATTCTACTTCTATAATTTATCTCCCTAATCAAGAAAAAAAAAAGCTTGAGAAAATATATCAACCATACATTTGATATCAGGTTAAAATACTAAATAGAAAATGACATTAAATATCAAGTTCATACCTTCCCATTCTTTAGGGAGTTGAAAATATGTCCTGTAACATCCAGTGGGATTGTCCTCAGGAACATGGGGTGGATCAAGTGGAAATGGATATATTATGTTTGTATATATGGGCCTATCAAACCCATGCATTTGCCAATTCGATGGAACTGTTCAAAAGAATAGAAGGTTAAAAAAGACAATTGACATTGCAATATATACGAGTTTGATACCCCACCTGGTATTGTATCCCATGTAGAATCTTGAAACACTGTATCATGAAAATTTGAAGGAGCAGTGGTAGGACTTTGAGCAAGGAAGAACTTCCAATAACCAGATAACGACTTAACAAAAGGCAAATCTTGAACCCAATACTTGGCGCATTCAATTGATCCCGAAACAGCATCATCATCCCAAACTGATGATTTTGATACAAGAACATCCACTTTGTTTCGTTCATACCAGTATCTTAGAGAACCTACAAATGTTGAAGGAAGTTGACTGATTTGTTATTGTTATGCTACACCAAGGTCAATATTCTAAGGATCCCCATTAGATACACTTGTTTCTAATGTCAAAATTAAAGTTCATAACTAAACGCAAACCGATTCAAACTTATTCAAAACAACCTAATAATCAAAGAAAGTCAACGTTTTCTCGAGAAGCCCACCTTCTACGGAATCATGGCAATGAAGCGAAACATGAGAATCCCTCTTCCTCCATTTAATGAACGATGGATCCTCCCATACCTTATAATCACCATTACTTGCAGTCACGATTAACTTATTACTCAGGGCCATTGTAGCAGAAGAAGCCATCGTCCTTGATATTACCCAGAAATCAGATACAGATTAAGCGGAAAAAAAAAAACGTTAGATTCGAAGTAAGACACAACTCTGTGATCATCATGAGTATTTTCGATCGAAAACAGAGAAAAGATAAGTACAAATTAAGAGGAAGAAGGTGCATACCAGTTTGGGTAATGGCGGAAGTGGGTAGTGAGATAAGTATGAGTGGTGTAAACCCCAAATCGGTGTTATAAATGATTACGAGAAAAAAAAAATCCAACTGAAGCTGTTGTTTAGATTCTGCAAGCAGTAAGTAGAGAGAGACTCCTTTACGGTTCTTGTTTGCCACGTCATATCATATTTATCCTTTCACGGATCTTTTGACATTAATATTAAACTTTTAATAAAAGATTTTCTATATGTGCATGTGACCTAAGAAGTATTGATTGAAGTATTAATTAGGAGGGATATTACTATAATTAAATATGATAAACATTAATTATTAATTATAAATAATATATCCCTATCTAATAAACTAAAGTAAAATATCAGGTGTCCCTTCAAAAAACACTTTTAAATACCGTTTTTGCACCTATTTGATTTCACCTTCTATAATCACGTTATTATATACATGTCCAGGTCAAAATAAATCAGCAATTAATATCCGATTTTTATGATATATGATCTATATTTAAATTTAATGTGATACGTTTGAAATTGATACCCGATTTAGTCCTCCAATTTCGTGTTAAGGTATAATGATAAATAAGGTATGATATAAATTGCAAGTAATTTGATTTATTTGCTCCTTTTAGTCGTATTCGGTTCTATCTATACTTGAAACATCTTTAATCATCGTTTTAATCGACCTTCACTTGATGATGTGCTCCGCAAAAAAGAAGACCAATAACTTTTGGACGTGAAGATACTTCGATTTTTCAACAAAACTGTATGTACGTCATCTTGAATCATCTTTTTAAAAACCACTTACTTGATAGTTGATACTCCATTGACATTTAGACTATTTGTTTGAATAATCTATATTTCTTACACTTTACTTTACATTTTTTTCACTTTGTGGTTGTTGTTATAATATCTTAGTAGTCCAGGGAGGGACATAATGGTAATTTTCTGTGATTTTTTACTAATTTTTTCCTATTAAACGATCGTACTTTTAAAATAGGGCCGAAAAAGATAAAAAAGATTCACTTATGAACTATATCCCAAAATCCAATATAACACATGGACCCAAAGTGTTATGTGTGTGTTGCAATGAAAGCAGCGTGTTTCATATCTAAAAAGACCACAACAAGATTGACCATTAAGCCATTTTCTCTTATTTTAGCCATTCATGATTCCAAGAAGATAACTTTACAGTTTTTCCCTTTGGTTATTTTCGAATATATGAACTGACATACAACATTTAAGTCTTGACGACGTTTCATCATATTTTATGTGTGTATGTGTGTTTGTGTTGTATTTTCTTTGTTTGAATATACTTTATTTTCTGCAAATATTCTAGTTTTTTTAAGAAAAATTAATAACACATAATACACTGGGGAATTTGCGTTATTCTTTTCCTTGTCCGGTAGGTATCTTTGAAAACAGTTAGCATTATACTAATTTTTTATATATATGTACTGTTAATATTGAAGGGAACACTTGGTTGATACATTTGAATATAAAAATAGACACAAACATACATAATACAGACTAATCTCAAATTTATATTATGTTTTATAAATATATATTAATATTAATTTTAAATAATCAATACAAAAAGTTTTAAACAAACTTAACTCTTATTAATAATATACATGTTTTATAAATTTTTTACCCGTGGTTCCCACGAGTTATAACCTAGTTCTTTATAATTAATGTATTTTACATTTAATTATGGTAGTATTATACATAATTAATGTTTATCATATTTAATTATAGTAATATTTGTTATAAGTAATACTTCGATTAATGTTTCTTATATGTACCTTTAGGACACATATTAGAAAATCCCTTTAATAAATATCTAAAAAGAAATATGTCATTTTTTTAATATTTATGTCTAGTTTTTGTGTATTTATAAAATAAAATATAATTTTTAATTATTAGTATAAATATTTAGTTTAATAATTACTTATTTAATTATATTTTAATTTCAATCATAATATTATTATTTAAAATATTAATTATTGTTTTCTAAAATAATGTTAATTTAAAACTTATATTATTTTTAATTATTTTTATTTTTTAGTTAGCTTTATAACTATTATTATTACTAAAAAAGTTATAGAAAGTTTAAAAAAAAAATTTGATATCACTAAAAAGTTACAGATATTAAAGTTTATGTATAAATTTTATTTTATTTTTTATAATTGTTGTAACATACACAAAATATGGTCCCAAAAATTTCATTTTTAATTATTAAATAAAACTATAGTTATCAAAACATCCGTAAAAACATAAGTCCAAGTATCCAAAACATTACAATCAGAGTAAACATCTCAGGCTAAACAATCATGGTGTGTGCAATGCAATCAACCCGAGCTCTTCCCTTTGCAACTGAAAGTACTTGAAACCAAAACTGTAAACCGTAAGCACGAAGCTTAGTGAGTTTTCCCCAAGATACCACATACCATAACAAACCATATATTGGGCCCCGCCCGACATCAGGCCCCGCCTGGCATCGAGCCCCGCTCGGTATACAGATATGTTCATCATTGGTCTCGCCTGTCATTGGGCCCCGCCCGCTATACACATACAACCAATATCACATAGGCATGCTAACACATAAAGAAATCATACACGGTACTATATGTTCTAGTCCTAAGGCCTCGCCTATCATGGGCCCCGCCCCTACTATGCTAATGATGAGATATGGAACCTCGTCCACTCTCAGCCAGTGATGAGATACGGGACCGCGCCCACACTCACCTCCCTAACCAGGCACATACAAGTATCACACAAACAGCAAGTATAACCAAACATGCATATAGTCATCGGGTACCACCCGACATCGGACCGTAGTCCGAAAACACACATATAAACATTCATCGGGCCGCCCGACATCGAACCTTAGTCCGAAAAGCATACAATCATAAATACGGGCCAACATTGGTGCCTTCGACCCATTCAAACAGGAGGAAACTCACCTCAAATGTTGAAGCTCACTGCAAGAAATCCCTAGCTGCAACCCTGCCGAATCCTCGAGCTATCAATACCAAAATATCACCCAATTAGCAATTAGGTTCTAAACCATGATCCATAATCCTTACTTGGGGTGAAATGACTGTTTCACCCAATACTCACAATCAAGGCCCAAGTCCAAAACCATCAAGGCCCAAAACTATAAAATCCATAAAAACCCATTAATGGCCTAATTTTCCAAATTGGGCCTAAACCCTTACATGGGCCTTTCCCTAAAGCCCATTTACTTTTTTGAACCAATGATCTTCCGATGGCCCAAAGGTCCAAGCACATCGGGCCCAATCAAGGGCTAACTACATTGGGCCCACTAAGGCCCAATTCACCATCCAAGGCTCATTAGGGCAAGCCCAACCAAAAGTCCATTACTCTAAAATCCTTAGTCCATTATGAGCCCAAACCGAAGGATAAGTCCAAGACCAAGCTAGCCAACAATCAAAGAGTCTAAAACTTGCACAGGAGATGCTTACGTCGTGAGCACCTTATGCTCACGCTGCGAGGTCGTGATTTCTGCCCAGAAACTTCCTTGAACACGCTCTCACGTCGTGAGGTCTTATTCCTCACGTCGTGAGACCAAATCTGACCAAAAATGAGCATTAAGATCCTAATCCATTAAGCCTTAAAATGGGACAGTCTAGAGGGTCTTCCTTGACCCCAAGGACCATAAAAAATCGAAGCTTTTCAATCATGTATGTCCAATACATGACTCAAACACCAACTTGGATCAAAATGGAGGAAAAAGGACCAAGACTCAAGCTTGGAGTCCAAAACCATGACCAAAATCCAGATCTAGAACTTATAGGACTTAAGATACCATCATAATCCATAAAGTTGCCAACTTTATGGATTCCGTGCATGCTAACCAACATTACAAGCCATAAAATGCATGGAAACTTAGATCTAGCAAGCAAGGAAAGGAAAGGCATGAGCTTGAGGACTTACAAAGGTCCAAAAGCTCCAAAACTAGTTGATGATGAAGCCAATATGTCAACAAATGCACCACCAATGATCTTCTTCTCCCTCAATGAGCTTTAAAGACTCAAAATCTCTTTAATAGCACCAAGAATGACCAAGAACTTCAATGAGGGCTGAGATTAGGGTTTCTAGAGGTCTTGGGAGTGAAAGAGGCCGAGGAGAAGCAACCCTAATCATCTCATACCTTTAAATACCCGAAAATAAGGGTTTTGGTGCATCAGGCGCTTCTCACGTCTTCATGCTCACATCGTGAGCCTTAAATGAGCTTGGTCAACAAGTCAACGACCACTCACCCAGACCACTCCAACTTCAAACGGCCATAACTTCTTCGTTTCAATTCCGTTTTTGACGTTCTTTATATCCACTTAAAGGTGGCGAGAAGCTCTACACATCTATCAACTTATCCTCACCTCAAAACTTTCCGAACAAAAATCAAAAATTCATAAAGAGCTCAAACTGCCACTTTACCGATATACCCCTTGGCTCCAAGACACAATCCAAACTCCCGGATCACCTCAATTACATTATCCGTACCTAAGTGGGTCTAGATCTCTCTTTTCCAATGGTCATAAGTCTTATGATAACCTATCTTCAGGCCACAGTTCCGAATTAAGAAAACGATTCGGAACAGGGCGTTACAATTATACTACTATTTTTAGTTAGTTTTATAACCGTTATTGTTACTAAAAAAGTTATAGAAATATATAAAAAAATACTTGTTCTTATTAAAATGTTACAAATATTAAAGTTTATGCATAAATTTTATTTTATTTGTTATAATTATAATATATTAATAAAATTATTTAGAGGCGTTACTAAAAATGTAAAAGGTTATAGAAGTTTGACGTCTATTATAATATACAAGACAAGTATATATACGCAAATTAAAATTATATAAATTTTAAAATAATGTTAATTTATTTTATAACCTTATATTTCTTTTAATTTTTTTATTTTTTAGTTAGTTTTATAACTATTACTATTACTAAAAAAGTTATAGAAACTTTAAAAAAAAAATTGCTATCACTAAAAAAGTTATAGATATTAAAGTTTATGTATAAATTTTATTTTATTTTTTATAATTATATTATTATCTTTTAGTTAGTTTTATAATCGTTGTTATT